GGCCGTGGGCGACGACGACTACGGGGAGGACCCCACGGTGAACGGTGAGCGAGGGCCGGAGCGCCCCCAGAGCCTTCCTCGGGGGCTGCGGGGGCTGGGGCGCCGGGCGGGCTGCAGCGCAGACCTCTGGGGTGTCTCGCCGCCCCTCCGTCCCCGACGGCATCCCCTGTGCCTTTCTTCCACGCAGAGCTTCAGCGTCTGGCTGCGAGGACCATGGGGATGGAGGATGCTCTGTTTGTGCCAACAGCCACGATGGCCAACCTCATTGCGGGTGAGTGCCCAGGGCTCGGCGCAGCCCCTGCCCCGCTCTCCAGCCCCAGCGACCCAGCAGCAGCCAAGTGGCACGCTGAGAGCGGTGCTGGTCGAGTGGGTACTGAGGGCAACGGAAACCCCTTGCTCCCTGCTCCCCTGCAGGATACTGAGCAAAAGCCCCACTTCTGCTCAGAAAGCCACAGATTTTTCATGACTGAATGGCTGCAGGGGAAAGCTGTTAGGAACAGGCAGCTCCATGCTCTCCTTGCCCCTTCCTGGGCCCCGTCTTTAGCAGTGCAGCGCAACTCCATGCAGACCCAGGAGTTGCTCTCCTGCTTCGTGCTGCTGATGAGCAAGTGTCTCCCCTTGGATAGGAGGGAGTCCCGTGCTCAGCCTCGAGCAGAACTGCTCAGTCGACCTTTACCCGGGTCACTTTTCTGCCCTCTGCAGTGAGCAAGGGTCTGGCTGCGCGCTGCATGGGAGGGTGGACTCAGCTCCAACTCTGGCCACGTGCACGCGCGAGGCAGGGAGGAGAGTCAGCGCCCTCCCATCACCGCACTGCTGCCAGCTGGCTCCCCTAGCTCCAGCCATCGTTGGCAGGTCCCAGTTAAACAGAGACATGGTCCAGCTCGGACCAGCTCCAGCACTCTTCAGGGGACAGAGCTGACGTCCCTGCGTTATGCAGGAGCCAGCCCCGCTGTGGAGAGATGCTGCGCTGGAGGAAGGATGTGGCACGTGTCTTTAAGTGCTGTGTGCTCAGCCTTCGCGCAGTGGAGCCCTCCAAACTGCCAGAGCTCACGCAGCCCGTTGGTATCACCCCAGCTGAGTCCACGCCTGCTCTCCCCGCACGGCCCCACTCCATGCTCGCAGTGCTGCCCCCGCGGTGCCCCAGCCTCACTGCCTCTCCCCTGTCCCAGTGATGTGCCACTGCCAGCGCCGAGGGGCCCAGCTGCTCCTGGGGAGGGAGGCCCACCTGCACGTCTACGAGCACGGCGGGGTCGCTCAGGTAGGTGCTGCGTGCTGCCTGGCTCACAGGTCTCCAGCCAGTGCCCCAAACCTCCTCCTTCTTGGGGACACCCCCAACCCGGGCCCTAGGGAGGGGAACCTAGCGCCGGGCTGCCCTAGGACCCGAGTGGGGCAGGCGCAGGCTGCACAGGGCAGGCTGGAGGGACAGGATCGCAGCTTGCTGCTGCCCTCCTCTGGCTACGGGGGACTGGACTGGGGGATCACCTGGATCCCCTAGAGAGCAGCAAGCCACAGCCTGGGGCAGAAGTGGGATCTGATCACGCTCAGAGCAGGGGAGGGCAAGAGG